ATCAGAGGCTCAACTGTGTCGGCTGTGGCACCACCAAGCAATGAAGCATATGCCATCAAATCACAAACTTCACATTCAAAGTAATTGACGTCCATCATCATCTTATATCTAAAAATAGTATGTTATATGTATATGAAATTATATCTTTAATATACTTACAACGAACAGAGTATTGAGAGCTCGATACTTATCATTTCAAGAAACATAGTGGAAAGGACTAACCTCTCACCTCTAGATAGGAAAAGGACATGGAACTCACACATCCTATTGCTGCGCGACTTGCACAAATGCAAGCCATGCAGGTATTGCAGAGGGAAACTTGCCCGTGGAGGCGTTTCCTTCTGCCGAGAATTGCAGTGTACAAAGTTTCGTGGGAGTGATGGATGCTCTGAATTGTGGAACTCTACTTGCTGCCTTCGAAGATGCCATTGCAGAGTGTTGACATAATCTCTCGTTCCATGGTGGTAGCGTGGCGCCATAACTTATTTGATTGACTCCATAGCTATAGATCTTTCCTGCGACGAAAAGAAAAACATTTCTTAACATCGAGCCAGCGGGAACTCTGGTCCTGATATTATCTAGCGTGAGAACTATGCGCCATGGCTACTCACAGTGCAGCAAGCACATGACGCAAAAATTGATCGCCCAAGCATAAACTTGGTAAGGAGAAGATTCCAGGTGATTAATTACATTATCGTTCAATAGGTACAATAAATCATTCAAAAAGTGGAGTCTTGATTAAGTAATTCTTATGTTTTTTAATATTATTGGTATAAGGGATGGCAACTTAAACCAATGGCGTGAATGGTGAGATGTATCCTTTGATATTTGGCGGAATGCACCAACATTTTCTGCAGGTGCTGACCATCACGTCCCTCAAGGTGAACTAGCTTTAAAATTTTTGGTTATTTCTTTGAATTTTAGATTTCGTTTGAGACAGCTTTCTTATTACTTATGAAAGCACTTTTTAGTACATAATTTTAAATTTTTTGTATCTTAATTTTATTACTTTTAATTATATTATTATTTATTACGTCATCCGGTTCGACCCCGGTTCGACCGGTCAAACCGGTCGAACCATGAACCTCTCGTTCTTCTGGTTCGTTGTCCGGTCCGGTTTTCACAACCTTGATTACAATAATGTGTTGCGTATATAATGTAGCCGGACCTAACAGCACCAGGGGTTGATATTTTAGCGGCATGGTCTCCGCTTAGTAATCCTAAGGTACCATATAACATTATATCAGGCACATCCATGTCTTGCCCTCATACAACAGGTGTCGCCGCTTATGTCAAATCATTTAATCCTACTTGGTCTTCAGCTGCCATAAAGTCTGCTCTTATTACCACTGGTAAGCAACCTTTGGAACATGCCTATGAAATGCAAATTCAACTTATAGTTTTTCTTTATTCAATCTTAATAAATTAACTTAAATTTTAATTTCAATTCTTGTAGTCTATGTGATGAGCTCAACTAAGAATGCAGAGGCAGAATTTGCTTATGGAGCTGGTCACATAAACCCACTCGGAGCTTTGCGTCCTGGTCTTATCTATGATGCCCAAGAGGTAGACTACATCAAAATGCTATGTGGTGAAGGTTACAGCACTAAAAATCTAAGACTTGTCACTGGAGATCAGAACAGTTGCACTTCTACCAATAATGGAACGGTTTTTGATCTCAACTATCCCACCTTCGCTTTGCAAGCCCAACATGGAAATACCTTTTCAACTTCCTTCCAAAGAACAGTCACTAATGTGGGACTGTCAAATTCCACTTACAAGGCGATCGTGAATGCTCCTTCTAGTCTCAAGATTAATGTTGAACCAAATGTCTTATCTTTTGAAGCTCTTTTGGAGAAGAAATCATTTTCAGTCAAAATTGAAGGGGATGCTCCAACGACCACTATCTCAGCTGTTTTGATTTGGAGTGATGGTACTTATAATGTTAGAAGTCCAATTGTTGTTTATACCATCTAAAAAAGCAGTTCTCATCCACGATGAGTAACTTCCATTAATGATTGTATGCTTTTTAAACACAATGTATTTGCTTTGCTTAGTAATTATGTCAATGTTCCTATCAATGATGTAATGCATTCTATGCTGGAAAATTTGTTTTCTTAATTATTCTCTTAGTTTTTGTTTTTCAATTCCATAATTGCTATCATATTTTTACATGTTTTATTTCCATTTATTCAAGAACTTATGATAAAAATTTCTATGAATATCCTAGAGCTCATGTCATGTAGCATGGCTTTATAGTGAAAGCAAGAAATAAGGGCATTCTCATTGCTCAAGAAGTCCTCAAGGAATTCAAGGATATGCTAAAGAAGTCCTCAAGGAATTCAAGATAGATGACTCTAGTTTCTATTGGAATATTTATGTTGTCCAAAATTTAATTTATGAATGTGAAAAACTGGATCCAACTCATTACGAAGTTCTTGTTGGAAGCTTATGCTACTTAATTTATAAAAGACTATATGTTATGTTATGTTGTTGGAATCGGTAGTCTTGACATGGAAGATTCAATAATAACACATTTTAGAACTATGAAGGGAATATTTGATACATCAAAGGAACAACTAATTATAGGTTTGTTTATTCTTCTTCTAAAAAAAGTTTAATTAAGAAAATTACTTATGAACTAAATAAAACTTAAGGTAATCATTTAATTATGTATTGGTCATAATTATTAAATATGATGAAAATTAGTTTTATGGATTATAAACATAATTAAACTTTACAATTCTCAATATTTGCTCAAGAGTTTGATGAGAAATACAAAAAATTTGGAGAATCACATTATCTTAATTACTTTTCCCATAAAATTTTAAAATATGTTGGATTAAATTTTTTTTAAGAATTATTTAATCATCTATTTTTAGATTAATTTTATTACGAATAACGATATAGTGTGATCTATCATTAGTCTATCGAATACTAAAAAAAATATTTAACAATTAATTTTTTGACTAGGAGACTTTTCTAGATGGTGGGGAGTGTTGACAAATAGGTTTGAATAGAGCAGTTTAATGAGTAAGCTAGATAGCATTGAAGGATTTTATAAGTTCTCTTACATGTATATTGAAAATAGGTGGACCTTTTAGCAACATGGTCCCCACTTAGTATATTAGAGTACTATATAACAATATATCAATCACGGCTATGAATTTCCCTCATACAACAGAGGATATCATTGATGTTAAATCAATTAGGTTTCATTTTGGAAAACATTTTTGCCTCTTTCTATAGCAACTTTAAGTCTTGATCTAATCTAAAATATTGCTTTAGAATGCAACCAGAAAACTATTACAAATGAAACTTTAATCTAACTTGCTGATCTTTAACTGTCATAAAGTATGTTCTCATTTGTGATGATAATAATAACTATATGTTTTGCAGTCATCCATACTTGCCTCATAAATGCAAATTCAACTTAATGTTTTTCTTCATTCTATCTTAAGAAATAAAATTTAAATCATTGCAATCTATGTAATGAGCTTCACTAAGAACGAAAAGGTACAATTACTTATGGTGTTGGTGATATAAATTCACTTGTAGCTTTGAATCCTGGTCTTATCTATGATGTCGAAAAGATAAACTACATCAAGATGTTATGCGATAAAGGCTACAACACCAAAAATCTAAGAATTATCATCAGAGATTATTGCAATTGCACATTTGCACATAATAGAATAGAATATCAATTTAACACACTTTACCAACTATACTAAGGTTGAGAGGTGGCATAATTATTCAGAAATTTCATAAATTCATACAGAAGAAATCAATCGGTGAAATTTTATATTCCAATAGTCAAATTATCCAGAAAAGAGTGTGTAATAATATACCAAAAATTACGTGGTGAAACTTTTTCAAAACTCCAGAAAAATAAACTTATAAGCTTATTTTTTATAAGTATAAGCATTTTGGAATTGAAATAAGAAACAAAGTATGGGTTGCCTACATTGAGCTCGACAATTTTCTAAATCAACTGAATGGACGATTTCCAAATTTCAGTCTCCACAACTCCTCTCTTTTCTCTCTCCTCGTCTCCTCCCCTTTCTTGCTTCTTCTCGAGCAAGCCTGGAAATTGAATGGTATTAGCCAAATAGACTTAAATATTTTAATATTTAAAAACCATTATGCTGGCCTAGCACTGTTTTTTTTCAATAAGTGGAATTCTATACCTTTTAAAGATGTTAGCATTCTGAAATATTTTTTACCTATACATTTTTTAGGCTTTTAGCCTTCTAAAATTTTTGATATACATGTACCTGGTAAGGTATATATCTTCTGAGATTTTTTGATAATCATGTATCTTATGATGCTTATGTCTCTATAGTTTTAAGCAAACATATACCATTTGAGATTGTTTCCTTCCTAGGTATTACATATGCATATTTCTTCTAAGGCCTTTATATATATTTAAAGATTTTAAAATAATATTAAACCTTTTGAGGATTTTACTTTCTAAGTTTTCTTATTTAGTGGTGACCCTGTCAATCACTTGCTCTCATAGAATCTTTCTAATGAGGACCTTATCCACTACTAGCTTTTCATCGAAGCTATCTCATGGGTTTTTTTTCTTGGGGTTATGAGTAGTTTCTGTCTACCACTTACTCTCATGGAGTCTTTCTAATGAGGACATTATCCATTACTTGCTTCCCTTTGTAGCTACCTCATGGGCATACCTTTCTAGATTTATGAGTGGAGACCCTATTTGTCACATGCCCTCATTTGGCCTTTCCAATGAGGATCATGCCCACTATTAGCTTCAAACCTGTGATATACTAGAAATAATTCTAAATAATTAGATGATATATTCTAAATACAATTTAATAACATATATCTAAAAGTCATTATATTTTTAATACATTCATCTTAAAATAAATTATTAAATTTATTTTGATGAAAATTTTGATTAAAAGATTTTTATGCAATTTTTTTACGGTTAAAATTTATATCAAGATCAGGACTAGAAAAAAAACTATGCAAATGTGATGCATAGGAAAATTAAAATGAGTGATTAAAAGTTTCCAAAATTGCTTCATAATTAATACTTTTCTTGTTTTTTTAATCCACCATTAACACAAAATTAACATCACCAAATGAGATTAATGAAAAATTATTATGAAACTTGGGCTAAGACTCGTATAAATTAATTTTAAAAAAAACAAAATATTAAAAATTCTTTTAAATATAAAATAATCAAAAAATACTGTTAAGAACTTAATATAACTTTTTTGTTAAGTTCTGATTAATTAAAGCTAGTTATGTAATTCTCTATTGGCTAAATCTATAGTTTGCACAAATAATAGTTTTTTATTAGTTCAGAATATGAGGAAATAAATCACATACATGTGCGTGGTTTGAGATGTAGAAAGCCTCGAATGAGCTCCTACTAATTATGGATGCTGCGGCTTCTGTAGATTGCGCTTGCCGCTAGTGCTAATTTTGTAAAATGATTGTTGGGCTTTTTGGCAGAGCCATATATGGATTGAGCCTTTTTATTATATAGGGAGACAGCGGAGAAGATGGGCTGCTATAGAGCAAAGTTCTATATGGGGTCTTGGTTGGGTACCTATTGGGTACCCACGTTTTAGTCAGACGGGCTTCGCCCACTCACGCCCATCCATGGTGACTTTCGGGATGCCATACCCACCTATACCCTACCACTTTCCATGCTTTGTTGAATGCAGTCTGCCACGGACTGATTGCCTTGAGGCTTGTTGCCCTTTGCTCTAATTGCAAACTTTCAAGCCGCATATCAGAATTTATCATAGTCGCAGCGTGGTTAAGTGTTGCATACTAAGCAGTGAGGATTGCAGTAATATAAGATATATGGTGATTAGTAATATAAATCGAATTATCCTCCGATGTTGAGTACTCACTCATACTCACCCACAATGCCAAGGGTGTACTCATACACATATGGGTGGGTACAGGGTGGGTGTGGGTACCCAATGCAGGGCTCTAATGTAGAGGGTTTAGGGATGAAGTTGATTGAGAGATAAATATTGCTGGACTTTTGAGGAGGAACGACGGACACGTGAGGTCTGGCGAGGTGTGCGAATGAAACTTGATTGAGCAGGTCAAAAACATTCAAATTGACTATTGATGCGATAGTTGCAATCGAATGAAATTGTGAGATGTGTGACTGAGCGAAAATCGTGATCATGGTCAAAGATGTGATCAAGTGAAGATTGCGAGCTAGACAAGACACTCGATCAAGAGAATATTATAATCGTGATGAGACGTGATCGAGCAAGGAACAAGACCGTGGGGAGATTCACAATCGAGGTAAGATAATGATTGTTTAGAGAGTGCGATCTAGCGACAAACGCAAGGACGATGAGATGCGATCAACCAAATATCGTAAGCAAGACAGCTAATTCTTGAATTCGCCATTGGAAATTTAATATGAGATGACCTCTCCAAAAGTCAATTTCTGCCACATGAATTTAATAAAACGACGCCTCAAAAAAACTGAACATCTACAAATCAACTATAAAATTAATCTCAATGCATATCATATTCTACTACCACCTCAATTGTATATGTAGGATAACATAAGAAATTTATTCTGAATAGATCTTGAACAAACCATAACAATACACTCTATCTAATGTGATCTATTGTGATATAGGCGTCTTGATACGAGGTGTGTTACAACTCTTGAGAGTAACAAAAATTAATGACCGAGTATTGTTTCAATGAATCACCATAGAGTGGTCATTGATCCATATATAAAGTGGTTACATGGCATCTCCTTAGTAGTTAGTGATGACTACTAATATGGCATTAGGGCAAAATGTAAGATCTTCTAGAATCTAAAGAAAAATATGATGAGGATGATTGCATATTCTTAGTTGCTTGGCTGAGATTTGATCAAGCTATTAGCTCATGGAAGCTCTTATTGGTATGGGCCAAGTGATGGGATTCGGGGTTATTAAGTGATGAGATTCGGGGTTATTAGC